GTAATCAGCTCTAAGTGTTGGAAACCTCAGTGGGCTGCTTCTGAGGGGACAGTAGCAACCCCCTAGCCCAGACCCCACTATCCAACTGGCCTTAGGAAGGCTTCCATGGACAGTCTACCCCATCTACCCACGGGAGGAGGACAGAGTGCTCCAGAATTGGTGGAAGAGGCCTGGACAGGGCCAGGAGGAGCTGGATTTGCAGCTCCCCAAAAACATTTGAAATGGGAAACTGGGGGAAGGTAATTGCTAATGGAGGCCAAAGGCCAACCGAAGCGAGACAGATACAAGGCAGGAGTCAGGATTGCGGGTACAGGCTGTTCAGGCCCAAACTCCCATCCTGGGAATAGCTGGGCTGCTGGCCCAGGGCACAGAGGCTGGGGGAGGAGGCCCCAGAGAGAGGCCCTGGATGGGGAAAGGAAAAGAGATGATGAGGGAGGCTGACCTAAGTCCAGGCTTGGGGTAGAGGGAGCAGCCTGAGGCAACACTGAGGGGAAAATGTATCAGCCTCTCCCCTTTCCATAGGGGCTTCTCCTCTTTTCCTCACAAGCCCAGCCCCAGACTGGGGACCCCCAAGAATGGGTTTGCAGGCAGCATGAGGCATGCAGGTGGAGCTTAGCCAGGTGTTTTTCTATCCTAGGCTGGCGGAAGGGAGGAGATGGGGAGGGAGAGGCAGTATCAGAACAAGAAGGAAACCTGTGTATAGGCTGGACAGGCCTTCAGGAGACCACGGCTGCCCCTGTCTAGGCCTCAGTTTTCCCATGTTGAAATGGGGGCTGGCAGCAGGCTGTTGCTGCTCTGAGTTTTGGTGCTGTGGGACCTGAGAGGCTGAAAGGGTGAGTGCAGGGGCTGTTGTGAGCTTTGGGAAGCAGAGGCTCCTTTCAGATACTCATCACTGGGTCTGGGGAGGGTTTCCCGCTTTTCTTTTCTTTCCGTTGTGCAGAGTCGTCCTTCGCCATGAACCCTGCACTCCATAACCACGGCCTGACTCAGCCTTGGGCTGGACACTGGGGTCTCAGCGCTCAGATAGACCCAGGTTCTGCCTTGGAGGAAGTCCCTCCACAGTCTAGTAGGGAGCCAGGCTTCTAGTCAGGTAATTTTAGTATGGAGATGAGTTCGCAATGCTATGAGGCCTCAGAAGAGATGACTAAATGCATTCTGGAGCTCTGGAAGACTTTCTGGAGGGAGGGGCCTAAGCTGAATCTTGAAGGTCAAAGGAAGTTAGCAAACGAAGAGCTGGACAAACATATTCCAAAGCATAGAGGTGCAACCCAGCTTTGGCTGGCTCTGGGGACGGCAGTGGCAATAGGGAGAGAAGCAGAAGCCACAGTGGGGCACTGAGAAGCCCTGGGAGGCTCCAAGCCGGGGGTGGGGTGACAGGTCACATACAGACATTGGAAAGACCTCCTGGAAATAGGGAGGGAATGTTTCCCACTGCTTCTAGTACCAACCAAGCCCTGCCTCTCAGTGGCTGGGCTCTTGGCACAGGCAGAATGGGGACCCTCTCTTGACTCAAGGCCCAGCCCCTATTCCTCAGACTTCTGTGGCAGCCCTGTTCCCACACAGGCACATATCACCCTAGAGTGCCCTGGGCTGTCCCATCTGCCTCTCTTACTGTGCTGGGAAACAGCAGCTGGGGACCACTCACTGTCAGCATAAAGCCTGGGGGTCCTCAATATTTGGTGGGAAAAAAGATGGGAAGGACAGGCAATCCATACTGGCTGTTAATTTATTAAAGAGTTCCCCCCTTCCTTGTAGTTAGGTCCCCAAATTATTGCATAGGGTTTTTTTGTTTTTGTTGTTGTTCTTTTTTTCTGTAGCCAGTAGGCTGGCAGGCACCATCCACCAGGGAGGCCCATCTCCCTCTCTCTGCCTTTGGGACCCCCCTCTGAGAGACTGATTTCCTCTGGAGGTAAGGTGGGGGTCTCTGCACTCTACTCTCTGCTCACTATAGCAAGGCAACAGGTTACTGTGTCCCAGCCTTCCCTCCAGAAGGAAGGTGTGATTTGCCAGCACACCTTTGGAAGTGGCTCACCTCACTCCGATCAGATCCCATGACCCTGACCCACCCCCGGTCTGATCCAACCCACATGCTCTGAGTCCACACTGCTGGCCTCTGGTACGGCTCAGCCCTCAGGCTCTGTGTGCTTCAATAGCAGAGGGTTCCGGACCGCCAGCTGTACCTGAGCCTTGTCTTGGCAGGGTTTGGGGGAAATCCAAGCCACTCCATTTCTTCGTTATGTGGGCCAGATGCTTCACCCCTCCTCCTTTAGAGCTACCACTGGTTGAGGGCTTACTATAAAGAAAGCAGTGAACTCACTGGATCCACACAAGCTCTGGGACATGTTCTAATCATGAGAAGTCTGAACTGAGAGGTCAAGGGGCTTGCCTAAGTTCACACAGCTCAGTAGGTCAAATCTCAATTTACGTGTTTCAAACACCTGCCACATATGGTTGTATGAATTAATCGACATAATGTTTATCAAGTGACTGGCACATGGCCATGCTCCAGGTAGGAGCTCCCTGCCTGGCCCACCCAACAACACTGAGCTGTTCCTCTGTTGGGAGGAAGTAGAGAGGGGAGAGAGGCTGTAAAAGCAGTCCAGGGGCCTTCCTGGGGGAGGCAATGTCTATTACTGGGCCTGAAAGGGTTGGGGAGAGCATTGCTGTGTGTCTTGGGGAAAGGAGCCACACCTCCCTGTTTCTCTGTCTGTGGGGTGCCTGCTGGAGCCACATTTCCCTGGTCTGAGGTGGGAAGGAGCTCTTCCAGGGAAGGAAAGTTTTGTAAATAGCAGGTGTGGCCACATTAAGAAGCTGAGGTTTGGGGAGCTGACCTTTCACCTTGCCTTCCCAGGAAGCCAGGAACAGTAATCTGTGTCTGGGGTGGGGTGGAAGAGGAATGTGTGCCCGTGGAGCCTGTGCGTACCTGGCGTGCTGTGTGTGCGAGTATGAAACATCTTTCCCGGGCTCCTCTAAGCTACTTTTCTTTGTTGACTCTGCCCAGGAAGCCCACATAAGGACAGACTGTTCCTTCCAACCTCAATACCATTTCTCCTCTCTTACACCACAGCCTAATAAACATGTGGGGGCTCCCAGGACAACCACATTGTACTGATTACTTCCTGTCATCAAACAAGGGCTTGCTAGCCACCTCTCTCCATAGGTTCTGCACACGACCCTTGGGGTGCAGAAGAAAAGGGCAAGGTCAGGATATTCAGAAAGTGACAGTCAGCTGACACTCTACAGGGCTTTTTACAGTTTATAAGCAATTTCCACGCTAATTTTGTTTGACACTCACCTTAGCCTATGAAGTAGATCTCACGGTTTTCATTTTGCAGATTAGGAAGCTGTGGCTCAGAGTTACAAAATGGCTGCCAAGTCCCCCAACCTGTGTCCTTTGTTTTATATTCCAAGGTGTTTAAGTGATGCTGAAAAGGGATGGACAAGACACTGATTAAGTGAGCTGCTGCCTTTGTGAGAGTCCTGAATTAAGACAGGACTCAGTGAGGTGAGTCTTACCAGATTCATCCTGGCCTAGGTGGGTCTCACTCAGGCTCAGAGAGATTGGAGAGGACGCGAGGCCACCTGAGCACAAAACCTGAGAGTCCTAGACCTAAGAGTTGAGAACACTGCCCTCCTCTCACCCCCCAAATAGCAGGCAAAGGTGGGGCAAGCAGTGGTGTGCTAGAAGAGGGGGAAGGGAGGGCGGAGTTGGTAAGGGGCAAGAGTAGGGAAGAACAGCTGTGACCTGAGACTTGGCTGTGACTACCAGCTGTCAGCACATAGATGTACTTTCCTGATGCTGAGGTGTGACCCTGGGAAAGCCCCAGCTGTCTCTGAGCCTCTGCTCCCCAGATCTCTCCAGACTAGTTCTAAGGCACCTCCAGCTCTCAACTAAGTGATACCCTCTCCTCTCTTCCCAGCTGACCTCCACTGCCTCTTCCTATTCTACCTGTAGTGTCTAGCCCGTCCTCCTCATCTCCAACTTCTCCAACACCTTCCTGATTCTTGGAACCTGAGGCCTCAGGTCTGCACAGTCTTCTGACTCAGGCAGTCCTGACCTCTCGGACCTGAGCAGATGACCTGGGAGGTTTTGCCCCATGAACTTGCTCTCTGACCGTTGGAATGTACGCCCTTCCTCCACTGTACACAACTCTTGCCAGTTCTAGGCAGCCCAGGAACTGACGAGGTTTCTTCAGAGAAGGCAGCAGCACTGAGGGGCTTCTCATCCCAAATCAGGTGGCCCAGAGAGTTGTGGCTGGGGACAGCCCTTTCACCCCTCCAGCCTCTCTTGGCAATATACTATTCCTGGCTGGGAATACTCACCCCATCCCATCCCTCAGGCTACACAGGCTCAGGCCTGTCTTATGGAGTGAGATTTGCCAAAAAAGTTCAGTTCACTTAACACCCCCTACCTTGTACCTTCATTCCTGGCTCACTAACAGGAATAGGAAAATCACCCCTTCCTCAAACAGGTGTGGTGTTCTAACAAGAGTTGAGATACATCTGTCTGGAATTTGTCCTCACTGGCTGCACTGAGACTAAGGAGCCCTTCTCCAGCTCCCTAAAGCCATTAGTACTGGCCAACGGAGCCAAAGGACTACTGTGTGCCAGATATTTTAATACAACCTCTTCTAAGGCTTACAACAAACCCACTATGACATAATTTCAGTTTTACTAAAATTATGGAAACTGAAGCTCAACAAGGTCAAGGGGCATGCACAGGGCCACGTAGCTAGAAAGTGACGAGGAACAAATAATCGAACTAAGTGGCTGAATGAAGGCTTGTGTTGGGCGCGACAGGCACTGGTTCGTGGAGTGTGGTGGGTACACACAGTGCACCGCGCCCACAGTCAGGTCCCCGGAGGGTTGGCTCACACAGGCTCTCCACATCCTGGGCCCAGGGGAGCGCAGGCTCCTAGAAGCGCTGCCGGGCTCTGCCCCAACCGCGCTCGCCGCCCCGCCCCCGCTCCGCCCCCAGCCCTCCCCGACCCGGACCGCAGACAGCGCCCGGCGGCGGCGCGAACAGCAGCGAGGAGGTTGGCTCTAGGCTCGGAGCTCACCGCGGGTTCCCGCACAGGGCCCAGCGGGTTGAGGACCCACGGATTCGGCAGCGCTGGAGGATGCAGACGCAGCTCCGGGCGGTAGCAGCGGGCCGCCTGACGTCCTGCAGGTAGGAGCTCGGCCGCTCGGCCGGCCTGGAAACTTGGGCCGAGTTTGCGGGAGGCGCGTGGGGAAGGGGTGGGCGGCGCTGCCCTAGGGCGCCCCTATCGGCGAGTCCGAGGAATGGAGAGCGCCGGGCCTGAGCCAAGGGTGTTGTGGCTCCTGGCTGCTGCCAACCCCTAGCGGAAGGGCTGCAGGTCCCGGGCCGCGTCATTGCCCCGACTCTCCCTGGACTTCGAGGCTCCCAGGACCGGCAGTGCTCTGGAGCTCCGGCGGGGCCCCGGCGCGGAGCTGGAGAGGAGGAGCCGGGAACCGAGCCCTCGGGCCTCCCGCGGGTCCTGGACTGTCCGGGCGGAGCTGTGTGAGGGGCGGCGGGGGTACTGGGCTCTGGGGACAGAGGGCGCTGAGGCGCAGTGGGACTATGGACGCGCCCTGCTGTGACGGGACGGCCCTGCGGTTTCCTCGCTAAGGCTTGACTCACCCTCTGGCCTCAGCCCAGGCTGGCGGGATCGTCCCGAGGCGGTGGCTGCCCGGATTTTGTGGCCAGGCCGCCCCCTGCTCCGGATCTCCCGCCAGTCTTTGGGTGTCTGTCGATGGGGCTCGTGCGCGGGCCTGCGTGCATGCACACGTGTGCCGGGGCCCGAGCGAGGGGAGAACGCAGTTCTAGAGGGGAGTGTGTGCAGATGTGGGCCCTGCATGTACTTGCAGGCACCGGTTTGCCTGCGTGGCGGCCGCCCGTATATCAGCCTGCTGGGGTGCACGTGCGCCCCAGTGCCGCAGGTCAGGGCATGGGGGACACCCAGAAGCCCCAGAGCTAGGCGGCTGAGGTCCCCACGTACCAGAGTTATGGGCAAGGCAGATAGAGGAAAGCGGGTGAAGGCCAATCCCGCGACCCTTGTCCCCCCACCGTAGCCTAGGCTTCCCAGGTTCGGTTCTGGGGATAGCAGTGTCCCAGAACCTGGGGAAGTGTGAGAATACGGGGAGGGGGCCCTATTTAAGTCTTTTGAGAGGCCGGATACTGACCACAGCTGGGCAGGATCACTCTTCTTCCTGGTCTTTCCCGACCTCCATCCAGCCATCCAGAGACCGCCCTCTCCCCCCTGCCCGCCCCCCAGAGGTGGAAGAGGGAATTGGGCCACGGATCTGTTTGTCTCCCAGCTTAGGTCCTGGAGAGCACAGCGCTGGTCGGCTCTTCCCTGGTTGGCTCTTCTGGACCCTGCCCTGGGCCTTGCCTGAGGTTCATCCTCCAAGCCCAGTTACAACCTCAGCCAGCAAACATTGTGGTGGCCCAAAGAGTGATGAGACCCTGCTCCCTGGAGTCCCATCGTTTTCAGAGCAATTGTTTGCCAACTCAGTATGTGTGTGTCAGGAAAGGAGGCTCCTGTCTTGAGTGAAGAGGGTCCTCCATCTCCTACTGATAGGAAGGTCACTTCCATACACTTCATAGTCCTCTGATGGCTCTCTGGAGACTTCTCTCTCCTAAAGGCTCCTGAGGGTCCCAGGGGTGGCCTCACCTCTCTAGGCTGGGTCCCTGGGGGGGTGTCTCAGGAAGTCTCTAGGGCAAGGGCACACAGTGGGCAGAGCCCAGGAGAGAAGAACTCCTGGGACTGGGAAGTGGGTATGAAGGAGGCCCTAGGGAACTTTGGGGGGAGATGAGACTGAGCCAGCACTTATTTATTTGCTCCAGAGCTCCAGAGGGCAGGGTGGGGCTCAGCACCCCACAACCATACAGCCCCTTTTAAGGGGAGAGAGAGAGAGAAACAACAATTTGTTGTTCCGCTTATATATGCATTTATTGGTTGATTCTTCTATGTGCCCTGATCGGGAATCAAACCCACAACCTTGGCATATTAGGACGATACTCGAACCAAATGGCTACCTGGCCAGGGCCATACAACCCTTTCTTGTGAAGCTGCATTCTCCTGGGATAGGGCACTGCTGTCGATACTGTGGTCCTGATTCCCCCTCCTGTCTTCTCTGGAACATCCCTTCTCTAGGCTGGTCTGAGATGTAGTTTCTGGCTAGGAGATGAGCCAACTTTCTGAGAGTTCCACCTGGCTTCCTTGGGATAGGAGTGGGCACTGGCCCCCATACTACTTTTGGCTTTTTCTGTCCCCAAAATATGCTGGTCTAACACTGAGACTGTGACTTTCATTGGCTACCAGCCAGAAGGGAGGGGAGGGCTGGGAGAGGGGGCTGTTTTTGGCTTCTCGGTAATAGAAACCTGTGACACCTGGCTCATGGCCTAATCAGAGCAAGATTGGGCTGATTTATTTTTTCTAAGCCACCTGTGGGTTTCAGGGAACAGGGTGCTGGGGGAGGTAGAGGGAGGTCAATGTGGCCTTAGAAGACTTACCTTATGACCCCTCATAGGTCATTGAGTGCCTGCTGCCTTGAGGAAACCCACACTTGACCTCTGTGGGCCTGGGTTCCAGTCTTTGCTCAGCTTTGCTTGTGGGCCTTAGTCTTTCTCTGGCACTCACTTTTAACATCAGTACAGTGGGGGCAGTTGCAAACTAGCACTCTCCAGGCCCTGGAGGCTCCCTGCCTGGACATTCACATCCTCCCACCTGCCTTTCTTGGTGCTCCCACCAAGTGCCTGGAAACAGCCAACTGCAGCTTAAGGACTGGGAGGGTCACAGGCTCTCCTCCCCTAAGTTTTGGGACCTTTCTGCTGGTGCCACAGCGCCATCTGCAGGACAGCCTTGGCTCTCCTGTTGGGCGTGAGGCTAGGATGGGAGTGTGGCTTGTACAAAGCGATGAACCTGGCTACCTCTCCTGGGGGGTCACTCCTCCTGGGGGACCACCCTTCAGAAATAAACCCAGTATTATCTGTTTTGCTCTGGGCCTAGGGACCTGGGTTCCAGGCCTGACTTCCATTTTTAAATAAGTCTTGCAGGTCAGATCTTGTGTGGAACATAAGTGACTCCAGCTTAAAGGTAATCTGCCGTCACATCTGGGTGAACCCGGACCCCTGACCCCTGACCCCCTTCCCTCCCTCCAGGTGAGCTCTGGAATATGCGCACAGAGTTCTTGGCTGGTCACAGGGTTTTCATTAGTTCTGTCTCCAGGGTGAGTACCCCTCAGTGTTATCTATTTCTGAACTTGCACTGGCACCAGAGCCCCCGGCACCTGATCCTTTTGATCACCCACACATTCTCACTGCTTAGAAGACGTAAGCACATGGTCTTGGGGGTGGAAGGTGTGGGGACCCATTTTGTCTTGCTGCTGTCTAGGACTGTGTTTCTGAACAGAAGTTCCCTATTAAATTCATTAACTGACAAGCTAGACTTGTCTGCCTCGTTCTTTGGTCTCAGCTCCTTTGGTGAATCGGGGCTGCTTTGCATATATAGCCCTCTTCCAAAACAGATCTAAAGAGTGTCACAGGCCCTGACTGGTGTGGCTCAGTTGGTTGGGCGTTGTCCTACAAACCAAAAGGTCACCAGTTTGACTCCCAGTCAGGGCACGTTCGTAAGTTGTGGGCTCTGTTCCCCAGTCGAGGTGCTTGCAGAAGGCAAGCAGTCAATGTTTTGCTCTCTTTCTCCCTCCCTTCTTCTATAAAAATAAAATAAAATAAAAAATAAAATCTTAAAATAAAATGTCACAGGAGACCTGAATTTGTGGACAATGCCCCATTCCACATCTTGGCTGCAGTGGGCATCTTGTGTTCACTCTGGGACCTTGGACTAAGAGCTTGTCATGCAAGGTCAGAGCCTGCCTCTCGTGCCATATCTTTTCGTCAGCTACTTGGGGTTATATGTATATGGGGAGTGGGGAGTAGCCGACAAAGTGGTCCTCAGACTGAAGTGTCCTCAAAGTCTGAAAGCCCAAGGAGGCTGTCTTGCGAGTCACAGAAAGGAAAGTGGAACAGAGGGGCTCCTGGAGTGGAGGCGGGGGAGTATGTGTAGGGCCGCTGCACTACAGTTCACTAAAAAAGGGCTCTGCAGTTTAAAATATGAAGTTGGGAACCTCTGCATTATATCATGCATTCATTCATTTATTCATAGAATCTTTATTGAGTATCTTCTAAGTGCCGAGTTTTTAGGTGTAGCGGTGAGCCAGCGAGAGCGGCTGCCCCTTGTTGCTTACCTGTAGCCTGTTCTGATGGCCCATGTCTGTCTCCCTCTCTGCACCAGATCGGCAGTCGAGCAGCTGGGGCCCTGGAGGGCTTGAAGCCTTTTCACAGTGATGGCGGAGAAACGGCCACAGGGCCCCCTGGGGCCCATGCTCTACGGCAAGCTGCCCCGTCTAGAGGCCGACTCTGGACCCCGGCACAGCTTGGCTCCCTCTGCTGCTAACCAGGACCCCTGCAACTACAAGGGTGCCTACTTCTGCCCCATGGAGGGTGCTGCCAAAGCAGGGCCAGAGCGGTTGGCATCCTGGACCCGGTACCCACCTTTGTGTCCTGCCAGCATGGCAGGATCCCCACTTCGGGAAGACAGCCTGTTGGCCAGCTGTCTGCTCTATCGCCCACCGGCAGGAAGCTCTGAGAAGGTGCAGGACTCTGGCCCTGGTGAGCTCCTGCCCTTCAGTCCCCAGGCTCATTCCTACCCATGCCCCCCGCTGGCAGCACCCAAACCCGTCTATCGCAGCCCTCTGTGTTACGGGCTCTCGGCTTGCCTGGGGGAAGGGGCGGCGAAGAGGTCATTGGATGTTGATTGGACACTGATGGCTGGGCCCCTGTTACCCCCGGCCGATGCACCTTGTTCTCTGACCCTGGCTCCTGGCAAGGGTCAGTCCCTGGATGGCACCTTCTTGCGTGGAGTGTCAGTTGGGGGATCTGGCAAAGACTCCTCAGGGAGCTTCTCCCCGTGCCAGGCATTCCTGGACAAGTATCAGACCGTCCATAGCACGGGCTTCCTGGCCTCCAAGTATGCAGGACCTTATTCTGGGGACCCCAAGCAGTCATTGTCTGAGGGACCTCCCAGTCCTTGGACCCAGCTGGCCCAACCCTTAGGGCCAGCCTACCAGGATACAGTGCCCTCCCACTACCCACTCCCTCCGCCTGCACAGGCTCTGTCCTGCCCTCCAGCCTGTCACCACCCAGAGAAGCAGAGCAGCTACAGCTCGGTGCCCCCACTACAGCCTCTGGGAGCCCACAAGGGAGCTGGGTACCTGGCTGGTGGGCTGAGTAGCCCCTACCTGAGGCACCAGACAGCCCAGACACCCTGCATGCCCCCAGTGGGGCTGGACACTTATTCCTATCCCTCTGTCCCCCTCCCAGCACCCTCACCAGGCCTTAAGGTGGAACCACCTCTTGCTCCACGGTGCCCACTTGACTTTGCCCCCCAGTCACTGGGCTTTCCTTATGCACGGGATGACCTTGTTCTCTATGGAGCATCCCCAGGGCTCAGAGGGACACCACCTTCCCAGAACAGTGTTCAGGCTGTGCCACAGCCCAGTGCCGTCCAGCAAGCGTGCCAGCCCATGAGTGCCAGTCAGCCATGCCCAGAGCCTGTGACTGAAGTACGGGAAACTCAGGAGACCATGTGGCTGCCGAGCTGCAGGAAAGAACAGCTCCAGCCCCAGCTCAAAGAGCACCCTAGGGCACCCATTGTCATTGGAGATAGTCCAGTTCCCCGCACCCCACCGGCACTCCCATCCTGTGCCCAGGAGCACCGGTCTGTTCTAGACAGCCAGGGCACGCTGTCCCCTGGCTCTCCACCCATGCCCATTATCGACAATGTCTTCAGCCTGGCCCCCTACCGTGACTATCTAGATGTGCAGACACCCGAGGCTGCCTCTGAGCCTGATGCGGCCCAACCCCCCAAGGACAGCCATGACCAAGACTCCAGGGAGACTCCGCCTGCCCAGGAGGCCCCTTTGAGGGAGCGTTGCTCACTTAGGGAGGAGGTGGCACTGGACTTGAGTGTGAAGAAACCCATGGCAGAGGCTCCTCCTGTCAAGGTCCCCAGTCCTGCGGCGCACCCCGAGCTCCCTGTAGCCGTGGGTGTGCCGGGCGTGGGGAGCACAGTCTCAGAGTTACCTGGGTTGCCAGTGACCACTGAGGCCGCCCCAAAGACCAACTTCCACAGCTCTGTGGCCTTCATGTTTCGAAAATTCAAGATCCTCCGGCCAGCACCCTTGCCTGCAGCCATGGTCCCATCCGTGCCCACCTCGGTCCCTGCCTCTGACCAGCCTGCACCCACCTCTACATCCATGCCCATTGGACTGCAGATTCTCACCCAGCCCTTGCCTGTGGCCTGCTTTGACCTGGCACTGCCCAGTTCTCCAGCTGTATCTGTGGCCACCACAGCCTCTACTGTGGCTCCATCACATGCTCCAGCCCAGACTCCAACTCCAGCTTCTACCCCTGTCACAGTGGACTCCCCAGAGCAATACTTTGCAGGGCTGCATGAGTCCCTGTGTGATGCCATCTCGGGCTCAGTGGCCCACTCCCCACCCGAGAAGCTGCGCGAATGGCTGGAGACAGCCGGGCCGTGGGGCCAGGCAGCGTGGCAGGACGGCCAGGCTGTGCAGGGGCTGCTGGACAGGCTGCTGTCCCAGCTGCAGCGCTTCGTGTGCACACAGCAGTGCCCCTTCCCCCACGTCGTGCGGGCTGGCGCCATCTTTGTGCCCATCCACCTGGTGAAGGAGCGGCTCTTCCCGAGGCTGCCGCCTGCTTCTGTGGACCACGTGCTGCAGGAGCATCGGGTGGAGCTGCGACCCACCACACTGTCGGAGGAGCGGGCGTTGCGGGAGCGGGCCCTGCGTGGCTGCACCTCACGCATGCTGAAGTTGCTGGCGCTGCGCCAGCTGCCCGACATATACCCTGACTTGCTGGGCCTGCAGTGGCGTGACTGTGTACGCCGCCAGCTGGGTGAGCATGGGGCAACCCCAGTCGCCACCGAAAGCTGTGTGAGCGAGTGACAGGTGTGTGGGTTGTATGAGTGCTCACAGCCAGGGACTGAGGGATTCCCGGGCCTCTGGAAAGGTCAGGGAGGCCCTAGAACCTGGGAGGGGTGGGGGAGGGCATGAGGATAACTAGCCTCCCAGGGTGGGCTCTGTGGACCCCCATCCTTCTTTACCCCCCGTGTCAATGACAGCCTTTATAGCCTCTCCATAAGCTGCTGAGCATGCCAACTACTCTGTCCTCATGGAAATGCTTTCTTGGCCATCCTGGCACTGCATCCTCCTGGGTCCCCCTCCCTCCTCTGCTGTTTCTTCTGTATTTGCTGCAGGCTCCTCTGGACTCTGGGACCTGCCCAGGCCCTGTTTATTATCTGAGGTCATTTCCCCCTGTCTGTCTCTCCCAGCCTTCCTACTTCTGAGCTCCAGCCCTAAATTACCCACTGCATGCTGGGCTTCTGCATCTGGCTGGTGTTTCTCTGACCCTTAAGTCCTCCCAGGCCACACTCCTTAGCTTTTCCCTAAGCTCATTTCCCATCCCAGAGAACAGTACCTCCTCTCATCCAGTGCCTCCTTCCTGAACCCCAGCACGGGTGTCCCCCCACAACATTACTGCCTTCTGAATGCATGGTTTTCATTTTCCTAGGTATTTGCATTCATGGAAGTGTCCCAGTAAGTTGGGATCTTGTTTTGCAGTTATCTTTTCCCAAGTAACTTGTGCTCATCACTCTCCAGCATGTTCTGTGCCATTCAGAGCACCACCTGATCAGCTCAGGTGGCTTGACCTCACCCTGAGGAGGGCGTGTGGTCTCTTGTGGTGGGCACCATCTCACTTCTTCCTCTAGGACTTTGGTGGTGGTGCCCAGTGGTATCTGTTGCTGCCTCTTCTACCTCAGGAGATCTTGAGTTAAGGCCTGCTGTGTCTTTCTTTTCTTGCTTCGTTGCCTTCTCACCACCCAGCCTCTGTCCGGCTGTATCTCTATAGAAGTGTTCCTCGCCCCCTCCTCATCCTGGCAGCCTTGTCCTGGGCCCTTACCTGGTGCAAGCTCCAGGTCAGGTAGAGAAGGGGTAGAAGAAATGATGGGCAGGTGTGGGGCCTGGCATTTGGGTGATGAAACTGCTGACCCCTGAGCACTTAAGAAGTTGGGGCATTTGACCTAATGGGGCACACACAGTGTTAGTGGGAGTGTTCTATTCCAAGAGAGACAGCGATATGTTGGACATTGTGCGGAGGCTGCCCAGCCCTATCTTCCCCCCATACAGTTGGGTTCTCTGGGGCCCAGAAATAGACAGGTCCATTTTTCCTGGGCTGCCTGCTGGACAGTGGGACCCAAGGCACTTCATCATCCCCTTCTGTTCTGACTGGGGCTGCAAGAGTTTGGGGCTGAGAAAATGACCGAGGTCCAGTTTCCTGCTGCTAGCTAGGTTTTAGTACCCCTATCCCCACTCCTTTCTTGACCGTTGGGCCCTCCCCACAGCTTCGTGGTGCCGCCTTCCGTGGTGTCCTTAGGACAGCGCTGCCCTGGCCACCTCTCTTCCAAGTGGCTCTGCTTTTGGTCAAGAGCGCCCTCCCATGCCCACTGATGCTACCTCCAGGCTCTGCTTGCAGGGCAGCCCCTGTGGGGCTTAGCTCCTGCCCTGGTGGCAGTGTGGCAAGAAAGGACTCTGAAGTGTGGCCCTCCCTCTGTCAGGCCCCTTTCCTCTTGTCTTGCACCAAACAGCTTCTCCTGAGCAGTGCCCTCATCAGGGAGAGCTCTGGTATTACCTGGGGGAAAGCATGCCCTCTCACCTTAATGGTTTGGCCAGCAGGCATGTGCAGGGTCATGGTTTCTGTGACCCTGCTGTGGCCACCCTTGCCTGGAACAGAGCAGGACAACTGGTCTAGATAACTTGGGGGGCCAGGGTCTGGGGGTGTCGGGGTCTGTAGCATGACTGTGTGTTTATTTCCCAGGTGACTTTGACACTGAGGCTGGATATGTGCCATCCTCAGAACCCACCATGGCCAGAGATGAGCCAGACAGCCTCTCCCTGGCTCAGAAGTCACCCATCCCCAAGGCCAGGAAGCTGGGGAGGAAGCCACCAACTCCTGGCCCGGAGAAAGCAGAGGCGACTGCTGGGGGAGAGTCCCACGGTGCCTCACCTGCCCCTGATGCCAGCGCCAGCCTACCCAGCCCCACACTGAGGGCCCGCTGCCGAAGACTGCTGGCAACCGCCTGGCTTAATGGCCTGGCACTGCCCACTTGGGGCCACAAGGCCTCAGGAGCAGCCCTGCCCTCGCCCCGCCCACAGCTCTTGAGCGGCCAGAGCCATCACCTGTAGCACTGGTGGCTGGTGCTGTTTGGACAGCTACTGTTTGGTAATCACTCTATCCCTCCCTCCAGCTGGCCAGCTGCCCAGGAGAGGAGGGGATGTGCCCTTGGAGTGCTTCTCACCTGGCCCTGCTCCCCACCACGCCAGGCTGGGAGTCCCTGGACTTTTAACTTGAGGGCCTTTATTAGAAAGGACTACTTTCCATCTTTAGAGAAGACGTGTGCTTTGGAGTTCCACCAACCAGGGCCCGGATCCTGGCTCCTTGCTGTGTAACTGGCAAGTCACTTCCTCCCTTGAGCCCTTAGTTCCCTGTTTGTAAAGCAAAAACATAACCTACCTCACAAGGTTGTGCGGGGGTGATGCCTGGCACACACCCGTCATGGTTCGCTCCCTGCTTCCTCCCCAGGACAAAGGCCCAGCTCCCAGCCTGGGCCTGGGCTATGAGGCTGAGGCAGACAACCTCCAGGAAGTTTTTATATGTCATAGGACTTGGTTATCTTGGGGTGGTACAGTGAACCCCACACTTTCTAGAGTCATTCCCCAGGAAAGCCTAGAGTTACAGCCCCAGTGTTTGGGCTTGGGTCCTAAACCCCAGCCTGTAGCTCCCTGAGGGAGTCTGCCACCCCCCATCCCCGCTACAGGGGTGCAGGGGTATAGCCTGGGGCTGGCATCCTTGTTCTGGGCCTGCTGTTCTCACCCCCAGGAGGTCCCAGGCCTGTCCTAAGTTGATGCCAGTGACTGCTCTGAACTACCAACCTCACCTAGCGCATTATCCCAAGAAAGCTGTATGTCTGCTGGAAGCCGAGCATCTGCAGCGACTAGAAGGGACGGGCTGAGAGATAGCTCAGTGCTGAAAGGTCTCTGAAGATGCAGACTGAGGACTTTGGGGCTCTGCAAGCTGCAGCCCTATCAGCCAGGCCTGCTATGGGTTACTTCCTTGCAGTGCTAAACTGAGCCCAGAGTCTGGCGAGCTAGCCCCTTGGCCTGGTTAAGTTTGTAATAAGGCTGTGGTCCAGGGAGACTCTGCCTGCCCTGGAGGCCCTTTTGAGGACGCACTGCTCACTTAGGGAGGAGGTGGCACTGGACTTGAGTGTGAAGAAAATGGCAGAGGCTCCTCCTGTCAAGGTCTCCAGTCCTGCAGTGCACTCCGAACTCCCTGTAGCCGTGGGTGTGCCAGGCGTGGTGTCCCCCCCTGCCCCCCACCCCAGAGACAGTCTCGGAGGCAGGCCATTAAACATTAAAGCATATGGGTTGGTTTGGGATATGGGATCTGGCTGTGTGTTGGGGGGTCGTAGATTCTGTGTCTTTACCAGGTGGTTAGCCCTTCGCGGGATTGTTGCAGCTGTCCCTGCTTCCAGCCCAGAAGGCTCTCCAGCAGTGTTGCCGCAGCTAGCTCTGGCCATGTGGACCCTTGTTGCCTACCCACTGGGCAGCCATTTACCTGCTCAGAAGAGCCCCCTGAAACCCTTACAGGTCCTAGTGGTTGCCGATCTGTAGCCAGCTGCCTGGTGAGAAGCGCTGGTCTCCAGGCCCAAGTGCACATGCCTCTCAGGACTGAGGATGTGTCCCCCAAGGTCTAAGTGGAACAGAACTGTTCCTCACTCCCCATTCCGGTGGTTTATCCTGCAAAGGGACAGCCCCTCCCACACTTTAGCGGGGCTCTATTCCTGCAGAGGTTTGTTCTCAGGGCTGGTGAGGTGGCTTCCTGGAGGTGGTTTCCACTCCACTTGCTCTAGGGGCCAGGCCACTGAGGCTGGTCCGATGTGCCTGGCCTTGACTCTAACTTAGGTTTCGCTGAGCGTGGTTATGCTATTCCTCTTGTTCATAGCTACATTGTGACTCCCATAGCCAGAGCCTGGCCTTGTGGACCAGGGTTAGAGTGGCAGCACTCGCCCCTGGTAATGGACAGGTGGGGAGATAGGCACAACCTGGGGAAAGGGTGCTGTGGAAGCTCAGGAGGGGCCTGTCCTAGTCTGGGGATGAGAAGGTGTCATGGGTCCCAGAAGTGTCGCTGCCTGGAGTGAGTCTTGAAGACCAGCAGAACGAGGTGGGTGAAAGCCGTTGTGAAGGGCAGTGAGTCGAACAGCAGTACGGAGGCCTAGAGGAGTGTTTGGGAAAGGGGGTACCCTGGTTGGCGCTCAGGGACCCCAACAGGAGGGGTGGGGTCAGAAGACATTGTTCCAGTTCCAGCCTGTTGCAGTTCGTTCAGTCCTGGGACCTGGAGAATGGGACGTGGTCCACGTCTGCAGCAGACTCCAGTGTAGAAACTTAAGAGTCGAAGCTGCTTAGACAGGACTGGGACACGGGTGGGAGTACTCTGAATCTTCTGGCCAAGGGCAGCCTCGCCCACCTCACTGCCAGGGTCATACTGGCTTTGGCTGTTAGTTAACTTCTTTATTTTCTCTTTTCCTTCCTTCTCTTTTTTCCTCTCCCTCCCCTCTTCCTTGCACACCTGTTGTGCCCCTGTTCCCTGGCAGGCATACATTGAGCTAATGTTACCATGGTTACAGGGTGGGTTCTGAGCCTTGGCATCTGTCCACTTGTGTCCTACAGGACCATGATGATGCAAAGGCTGGGTTAGAGTCCTGCGGGGCTGGACGTGTTGGGAGGAGGTAGCTGCCCCTGTGGCACACCTCTGTCCTAGGAGCCCCGGTCAGAGGGCTCTGCTGAGGGGAGAGCTCTGGCGGTGTCCTGGGGCCCAGCCTAAGGTGGTGGGGCAGAACAGAGCTGCCCAAGGTTCCTGCCCGAGGGAGGCAGCCCTGCAAACCACCCCCCCCACCCCCACTTCCTCACCGAGGCCATTCCGCTCTTTGGTGAGAGCGCTGAAGTGTAAGGGCCGAGGGCAAGGAAGATGTGCTGGTACTGTGCCCCCACCACCCTCGCATGAGTGGGACCCCTCAGCCTTGGTTGAATGTGTTTCTCTGGCCCCACAGTGCCTCTGTGATTGTCCCAGGCTCCCAGGCAGGGCTACTCCCAGGCAGGACCTCAAACATGATCACCTGGAAAATGGTCTTCAGCGCCCAGGCGTCTGAATTTTTAATGGAACTGCCAAAGTGATTCCGAGGTGTTCAGGAACCTATTTTGAGTGACTTGGACCATCCCTTCTAGGTTACAGATAGGGAAACAAGTCTAGGAGCAGTGCTGATGGTCACATCAAGGCAGGGCCTGTGCTAAGGCCCGAGCCAGTCCTGAGGGTTCTGGGCCAGCTGGGAGCCCGGAGGTGAAACATCTGCACCAGCTCCACCTCCGGCACCTAGCCCAGGCCTGCCCCAGCTGGGCTTGTTCTCTGCCTCGGGTAGCCTTGCTAGGCAACGTGTGGGTCTCTTGCCCTGAGCTAATTAGAGGAGGGTGGCACTCAAGGCTCCCGCCCGAGTGAGGCCCTGCCTCCTGGTGGCCCCACTCGGCACCCGGGCCCCAACCAGCTGGCTTGGCTGCTGGGAGTTAATCCCGAGAAGAGTCGAGTGAGACAACTCTGGAGGGAGGAGAAGAGCAGGGCTGTGCCTGGGTTTGATTACCAACACCCTTGGTAACATCCAGGTGCTTCCTGCCCTTGTTCGTTCTCACTGGTGTTTCCCTCGGCCCCTCAGGGGACTGGAGCAGGGTCCACCTGACCTGACCGAATGTGTCTCTCCTGACTCCACAGTCCTCTGTAAGATGGAAGTGGTGCCTCCAGCCCATGGGGCAGCTCTCCAGCGCTGTCAGCTGCCCTTGAGGCCCAGCTGAGGAAGCCTGAGGCAAGTGGGTAGGAGGAAAGCTGTGGGAGGTGCTCCAGCCTGTGGGCACTAAGCCTACTTCTGGCTGTTCTTTAGGCGTGTCCCTAGTAGCTCCTCTAGTCCCCAACCCCAGGGGGAGCCCCTGGCCCAACCCTCCCAGGCTCCAGGGCAGGGTGGGCATAGCACAGCCCCTTTCATCTCCTGGGCTGGACACAGCCCCTGGACAGGGCTGGAGCTGGCAGGCAGGTGGGAGCTCCTTGGGTACACTGCTGTCTCTGTAGGGACTCCAGCCCTGACATTCTAGCCACCGCCCCTCCGAGGCTCCTGCATCATTGGAGGTATCCACCTCATCTGGAATGACACCCCCTGCGTTGCCCTGGTCTGCTCATTGTGCCTCCAGCGCCCCTGCCTGTGTCCCAGAGAGACCCAGCTCTCAAGCCCCCATGTCTTCTTGTGGGCAGTGAGAAGGGGGTGTGCTCCTGGGGAGGGGGTGTTGAGACCCTGAGTCCCTTGGAAGGACCTGAAGAGGCCCCTTGTGGGTCTTAAGATTACCAGGCCTGGCAGTGGGTCCCTTGCCTTCTCACTAGCCCTGGGACAGTCACGTACAGACCCTTTTCTTCTCAGATGGGGCACTGGGGCCAAGGCAGGCTCCTCTCCAGGCCCTCACTGTAGCTCCAAGCTCCTCTCCTACCTGAAGTTCAGAGCCTGGGACTCAAAGCAGGGCTGCTGCTTCTCCTCAAATCCTACAAACCTCCCTGACCCAACCCCCATCCTGTCAGAGGGACAGGACCTCTACCCGTCTTTTGTCTGCCGAACTCGGTCCTTCCTCTTGAATGTCCTCAAGTGAAGTCTAGGCTCCCATCCACCCTGAGTGGGCAAGAGACCCTGGAGACTGCTCCTACTCAAGGGGACTTGGGTAACCCGCCCCCCACCCAGACCTGGGCCCTGCCTGCCTTTTCATGATTCTTGGCATTTCCCCCATGTGGGAGAGCCAGGGTAGACCTGTCCAACTTTTCCTACCCTTGAGCTTGCCACCGCTAGCCCTGAGCACATACCAGGACCCAGCTTACAGAGGCCAGGTCTTCCTTACCCCCTGCCTGCCACTACCCAGTGTCCTCGAGTCCCTGAGGTGGCAAGGCTCCCTAGCCGCTACGGGACTGGCCCTCGCTAGATCTGCCTGGTGCTTCCTCAACGCTGACCCAGCCCACTGGGTGTCGCTTTTCCCTGGCTTCCGGAGCCCAGTCCTCTCCAGCTGTGGCCAGCCTGGCGCCTTCTCCCACACCTGTGAGAGCTAATTCACTTGGAGTTAGCTTACCCCAGTCCCGGCCTCATGGGCACTGCTGGCCCCACACCCCTGGGCTCCTCCAGCGTTCCTCAGGACTGGTGGGGAGCCCTCTCCCGGCTCGGCTGGTTGCCACGCTCTGTACAACAGCCTGGCTTTCCAAGGAGCCCCAGCAGGTAGCCCTGTTCTCTTGAAGCCCTCAGGCCCGCCTGTGAAGTGGGCTCCAACCCTCCAGCAGAGCTCACCCCTGCAGAGGAGGCGCTGAGGCTTCTGTACCACTCCCTCTCACCGGCTCCCTCCCGGGATCCCCTCTGGAGCCTGGTGCCAAAGACCTCAGGAGGACAGAGCCCAATCCCTCTTCCCCGTCACCAATGGGGGCTTTGTCTGTCACGGCCCCTGACTGCTGGGGGATCCACACCAAGGCCCTGACCCACAGCCCCCTCCTTACTGACTACTGCCCCTTCCACAGGGTGGACCCTTAACTTCCTGGACAGAGGCATAATGACCCTCAAAATGTTCTTCTCAAGCAGATAGACTGGTTAGCACCAGGCTTTGGCTATCTGGGCTGAGCTGGGCAGCAGAGTGTCTCCAAGGCTACCTGGACAGAAGGACTCACTCAGTCCTGAGGAAGCAATGCTCAGCCTTTGCCATGTTCCTGTTGGGGGTGTCCCACCCCAGGACCCAGCTCCCCTCCCACCATGGCTGCTGAGGATCCCCCATGCTGACTCACCCCGGGGGTTGTAGAGAGCACCGCAAGAGACCACAGACAGCTGGAAAGAGTGCCCAATATCTGCACCCCATCAGATGGAACTCACTTTGGCAGGAGGGAACATGGCCTATGGGAAGACTACAGGTCCCCTTTTCCCCGCCCATGGTGGGCAGGCTCTCAGCTCAGGAGTCTGACCAGAAGACAGAACTGCCCCAGTCCAGGCCTACTTCTTCCCTCAAGCAGAGCCCCCTCCATATTGGTCTTCCCAGCTGGCCCACAGGCCCAGAGCCCCAGTGACATCTGGGTGGCCTGTGTCCCCTCCCACTATGTCCTCTGCCCCCGAGCGGAGCCTGGCTCTAGGCCTGGCCTGGAACTTGGTATGAACCCTGAGAACGAAGATACCTTTGTCCCACCAAGAAAAGCTCCTGGTGGCTAACCGCACTCAAATTTAAAAACAAAAACAAAAAACAGAGCCTGGCAGCCATTTCTACACAGGGACTTCTCAAATCAAGTGCACCTCAGGGAGAGGCTTGCACTGAACTGCCTGCCTACCTGCAC